AAACTAAAACTGTCTTAATTCATAGCGAATTAACAATCGTGCACAATAAAACTAAAACTATCTTAATTCATAGCGAATTAACAATCTTGCACAATAAAACTAAAACTATCTTAATTCATAGCGAATTAACAATCGTGCACAATAAAACTAAAACTATCTCGTATGAATAAGAGTTTTAAGCGACTGATTGCTGTATATTATATGTAATTTACCAATGACTACCTAGAACGATTTTCAAATTACTCATTATAAGTAGTTATGGCACACACAAAAAAAGGAATAAAATTATTTAGTTGCAAAACGTTTAGTTAGATATGTAAAAAAAACTAGTTTCAATTACAACATTTCACTTTTGTAGGTAATAATAACGGTGAATTTCAAGATAAATATAGATAAAATATGGTATGGATTGTTTTCAGCAACTAATTTGTATCGTTTAAGACATTACTAAAAGTATAAAATAGTTTTTTGCCCTTAATGAAAATGACAACACCATGAAACCATGTTTTCTCCCGTTTTCAAAGTTAGTTGCCTATACGATTACCTAATTAGGCTTAGGTGATCATATTAGAATATTAACAATGACAACGATTGATATCCGGTCATCTCAACTTTCCGTAAACCCTTATATTTTTTATTTTCATGGTTAGACAAAAGGTAGCAATTGAAATGGAAAATATCAAGGTAGCTTTTTATCGACACTTGCCTTTCGAAAAATATATGTAGTTAGTTCACGATATAGGCGATATAAAATATATCAAGTTTTAGTTTCTTGTAACAAACGAACATATCAGTGTATTCCTTTATTATAGCTGTCAAATAAAAACTAAATCAAAGAAATATTTCCTTGCCCATCGTCTATTTATTTATTAAAATAGACTGCTTATTTTATGCGATAAACGTAATAAAATAAATATATTATTGAATATTTTTTACGTAATTAAACACTATAATTATTTCTGTAATACACGTACTTACGTACGTATATTACTTATTGAAATAGACAAGATGTTTTATGTATTTTACTTATTTTAATAGACAAGGCGTCGAATTTATTATACTTTTTGAAAGAAACAAGACGTTTCATGTGTTTTACTTAGTGAAATACACAAAATGCCTTAAGAATTTTACATAATAAAATAGACCAGACGTTATACGAAATTTGCTTACTATAGTAGACTAGTTAATATAATATATATATATATATATATATGCTATTTATATACTAGGAATAGAACTGTTTCTTGATATCATTTCCATACGGAAATAAACTAACTGCTACTGCTGTTTAGAAATTGAAGTACTTTAACTGTTTCATGAGAGTTACGTATTTTAACAGACCAGTTTTAACTGTTTCATGAGAGTTACGTATTTTAACAGACCAGTTTTAACTGTTTCATGAGAGTTACGTATTTTAACAGACCAGTTTTAACTGTTTCATTAGAGTTACGTATTTTAACAGACCAGTTTTAACTGTTTCATGAGAGTTACGTATTTTAACAGACCAGTTTTTTGATGTCATTTCCAGTTGTTTTAAACCAATTACAAGTTCAAATAGACTAGCAGCTTTGTGCATTTGTGTAAAGAAATTGTTTAGCTGTCTTGTACCATTTAAGTATTGAAACAGCCTATAGTTGTTTTATGCCACTTATTTGCATTTTGGTTTCATTGTGAAATTTAGATTAGATCAGATGTACGGTCAAATGAGTTGAATACTATCTACACCTACCTAAGAGTTTAAAATAATTCAACTAAATTATTTATTTTCTACTTCAATGAGTGAATGAGACTTTTTCATTTTTCCAGGATGTATGTACTTGTTCTTGTTTTTAGTAATTGCATACGTGTTCTGTACTCAGCCAACAAGATATAAATTCAGTACTGACAAATATCTGTGAGTTACATTTGATGTTTAAGACACATCGTTGCCAAGTCCAAGGTTCAAACCCCCGACATGAAATTGCTCTGAATGTACAGTTTTGAGCACGGTATAAAGCGACAGTCAGTCCCACTATTAGGTTAAGATAAACCACGTAGACGGCGGTTTTTTTCTGACTAGCTATCCTCTCTCTTTGGTCAGTAGCTCTAGATTAGAGAAGACTGTGTCCGAACCTTGAAATCGTTGACATGGCATTTTAGTCATTCAAGTCCAAAATGACAAATACCAAATAACTGAATGATCATAAGCACATACGTAATCCAGATCTCTATGAACTGTCATTTATACAGATAAAACAATTAATTTATTTTAGCTATTTTAATAATATATTTATTTATTATCTTGGTATTTTCTGAGTCCCTTCAACTTTTTTCCCGCAGTGGCACAGCGATAAGTTTACGGTAACGTTTAAAACCGGGTTTCGATACCCGGGGAGGGACAGCACAGATGGCACATTGTGTATCTTTATGCTAGTAGTAGTTTCGTATGGTGTTTCTCACACCTACAAAAGCATTTGGAGATGAGTATCCGGAAGTAGGACTGGGGTCCTAGTCCGGACACCTTTCGGTGTGACGGGGATTCGAACCCGCGACCAGCTTTATGCTTAACTAAAAACAAATAAATAAACTCTTCGAATTTATTAAGTAATTTTATTGTTCTGCTAAATCGTATATTAGAGAACGTTCCCACCATATTTCGGTTCGAGTAACTGCTAGAGTGACCAGGAGTTCCCAACTAGGGGTGTTGGCACCCCCTGGAGGTGCGCGGAAAAGGCCTATACAAGGTCTGTTTTCCTCCAAATGTCGCCAAGAGGAAATGTCTAATTTTATCAAACCGGACATATGTTCAACTGATGCGTGATATTTGATGGTTAAGGAAGAAAGAAATGAATTTTCTTTAAGTGCGTGTGTGTGTGTGTGCACAAATGCATACTTTTAAGAAGAGGGGTGCGAGAGGTTCCTTAGGGGGTGCGAGGGTCACAAAAAGTTGGGAACCACTGTGTTAGACTACTTGTAGAAATTGGTCATATTCTATATATGCTCCATATAATACTTGCGCTATTATGAGAGGATTATAAAAAAAAAATTTTGTTTGTTTTTAGAATTTTAGTGAGTTATCTGCGCATATCCACTCCTATTTTTGAATTGTTGGTCTAAATAAAAGGTACCTTGTTAACCGTACTCTTTGCCAAATTTTGAGATATGACTTGTTTGTTTCTAATTAAGCACAAAGCTACACAATGGGCTATCTGTGCTCTGCCCACAACGAGTATCAAAACCCGGATTCTAGCGTTGTAAGTCCACAGACATACCGCTTGCCACCGGGGGGGGGCAAGATATGACAGTCTGGCCGAATATTGGAATTTGACCAGTGCATCCAAGGTCCCAAAGTGAGCAACTTGTTTCTGCACCAACGGGACACGAACATGAAACCCTCGTATCAATAGTCAGGATTCGGTCCGTTATATAGTTAATTAATATCATCCGCTGCAATGTTTCTTCCCGTTCGTTTTAACAGTTGGAAGAAAAGAAATGGGCAAAGCATACTAAACAGCAACAATTAATTAAGAGCACTGGGTACAGTAGTCACAGTATTCGTGAATTTTAGTTCACATATAATTAATTACTGTTACACAGTTAGAAAAAAAAAATCTAATTGATCATAGCTGCTGAAACATCGAGAATCGGACTAATTTGAACTATAGCAAGAAAATAATGTAGTAAAAATCATGATGAATCTCTGCATATGAAATTATATTGAATATGATCTTACCTGGCATTTATGAGAAATATTGGCATAATAATCATCATGGCGACCCTCACATTTGAAGTCGATTCTTACCTGGCATTTATGGGAAATATTGGCATAATAACCATCATGGCGACCCTCACATTTAAAGTCGATTCTTACTTGACATTTATGGGAAATATTGGCATAATAACCATCATGGCGATCCTCACATTTAAAGTCGATTCTTACCTGACATTTATGAGAAAAATTGGCATAATAACCATCATGGCGACCCTCACATTTAAAGTCGATTCTTACCTGGCATTTATGAGAAATACTGGCATAATAACCATCATGGCGACCCTCACATTTGAAGTCGATTCTTACCTGGCATTTATGAGAAATACTGGCATAATAACTATCATGGCGACCCTCACATTTGAAGTCGATTCTTACCTGGCATTTATGAGAAATACTGGCATAATAACCATCATGGCGACCCTCACATTTGAAATCGATGTCTTCTGGCACGCTGATATAAAAGGGGTAGGTAGATAGATCTACGCCATTCAATTCTCTTGGACGGTTGGGGTCTGAAAGATAATCAATATATCTGCCATCCTCACGAGGCGAATAGTGGCGACGAGGTTTGACAGTGATTGGAGATGTGGTAGATGGTGTTTGAGTCGTTTCTGAACTTGATTGAAGAGAAATTTCATGCGATTCCGTGTAGTCATTTCCAACAATAACTGGTCTGATTCGAAGAATTGGTCGACGGAATTTGTTACGCAGACGGCCTCGACCAAATGGGCGATATCGTCTTGGAGGTGGAGGTGTGGTCGTGGTAGTAGTTGTTGTTACGAAGTAGTCTTTGTAGTAATCGTAGTAGTCGTCGTCGTCGTAGTAATAATAGTTCGGTGTTTCTGTAGTTTTTGTTACTTGCAGTTTCTTTGGTCTGTTCGTTACTGGTGAGGCATAGCCTTGCCTTGAACGCTTTAGAACGATCTGCGTATCTTCCTGTTCGTCAAATGAATAATCAAAACGTTATCATATATACAGATACCAAATGGGAAAAGATTTAACGTCTAGAGTAATTCACTAAATATTTAAAATTGATTTAATAGTTGTAGTAATTTTTACTGATTCTTCATTCCTTCAAGATTGTAAAAAGTTAACCCTTACCAAAACACCTTTTCATTTCTGTTTATGTGTAAACCGAATAAAAACTGTTTGTTAGTCTAAGTTACTGTAAGATGTGGGAATGAGCTAAGACTTGTTATAAAGTTATAAACACCTTGTTATAAACACCTTGTTATAAACACCTTTTCATTTTTGTTTATGTGTAAACCGAATAAAAACTGTTTGTTAGTCTAAGTTACTGTAAGATGTGGGAATGAGCTAAGACTTGTTATAAAGTTATAAACACCTTGTTATAAACACCTTGTTATAAACACCTTTTCATTTTTGTTTATGTGTAAACCGAATAAAAACTGTTTCTTAGTCTAAATTACTGTAAGATGTGGGAATGAGCTAAGACTTGTTATAAAGCTTACAATTTCGGATACACACAAACCTATTAGTAATTACCAAAAGCTAAATATGAAAAAAACTTTAATATTAATTACATGTAAAAGAAAAACAACAAGAGGAAGTCCTCAATAGCAGCAGCACTTAAAATTCTTTTCGGCAGGATTAGGATAAATTAAGCTCTGAGACCTTTTTTTTTCCTTTTTATTAGCTACATTTTTGTTCGCCAGCAATACCAACCGTGGGGCGTACGTATACCCGATTCGATTTTATTACTCATCAGGATCTCTACAAGCCTACCCTCAAATTGAAATACCTTTAGGCAGGATTAGAGTAAATTATTCTATGAGAACCTGGACATGGTCAAATACATCAATCGAAAGGGTTTGACTTCCTAAGTCCAAAAATTTAATTAGATTTCAAATCGGCCAAGAGATGGCGGAGCTACGAGTTAAAAGTTTGTACTCGAAAAAACAAAATCAGTTACATTTTTAAGCCGTTATGACGCGGCTAATAACATTCCACTTTTCTTTTTTTTTTGGCAAGCAGCATATATTAAAATGTTAATACTCAGTCGTTTCTGATTGTATTTCTTGATATAGGCTTACTTGTTTCTTTGTTTCAGAATTCCGAGAAATCTACATAAGGGCTTCCTGCGCATAATTGTTATTGATTTGAAACTAATAGACTCGAAGTAAAAGAGCTAGTCAATAGAACTCACCTCTATAGTTCTTGAGCTTGACCGAAGATTGAGATTTGACCGACATTCTTATATCGCAGCCTTAAAATCTCGGAGCGAGTTTTTTTCGGCAAAATAAAGTACCGAAATAGATTAGCTGCCTCATGCCAATTTATTTTTTTTCTAAAGAACCAGTTCACCAATGCAAAGAGTTTACAAACTCTGATAAACAGTACTGGTTCACATACTTGCTGAACTTTTGTTGTAAGTTTAAAATGAGATACCTTAGAGTGGGAGTGGGGGGGGGAACTATTGTAAAATAGCAAATAATATTATTTTATGATTATGGTTGTATTTATCGTTCATTTATTATATCCTCCTGTTTACTTTATTTATTACTATTATTAGTCATTGTGTTTTGAGTACATATGTGTGTGTATGATGAAACTGACACCAGTTTCCCTAGCGGTGATGTACAGGTACTATTAATGTAGCAGAAGATTAAGAAATTTATAATTACATGAGGTTGTACTCTAGTGACTTACTCAGTGAATAAATACCCTACCAGAGGCGTCCCTAAGACAGAGAGAGACATGAGACACTTAATGAATTATTGCTGTTTATCATTCAATAATATTGTTATTAATATTGAAAAGTATTTTTGGAATATTGCGTTTGTTGTACTTTTTTTTTAGAATTAGGTTTTTTTTATTTTTAGTTCTTTTCCTGATTCCATTATTCGAAACAATATTGATATTTATGGTATGTTGTTTAATGACATTAGTGTCAAGTCCTGGCTGGGCACTTGTTTATTAACTGTGTTTTAGTGTTGTTATTGTTGAATAAATTGTTTTAGTTGTTGAACCCTGATTGTAGACAGTTACATCCATTATTTTTCAATTATTATTAAAAACAATATTAAACTTTCCACTTAAGATGTTAACTAGAATAGAGGATTCTGTATTTATTTCTCTCACAGAACATCTTAAACCTAGCTCAAATAAAAATATAAAGAAATCTTCATTTTCCAAGCAGTATCAACAAATATTTTTTTTCCAGTGCCATTGTTATTGTTATGTTATTGAATGAACTTATTGCTATTTTATAATGCTTTGTAGAGAAACTCGTGTTAAGCGTTTAATGAAATTATTATCTGCCAAAAAGCATTGTTTTGGGTTTAGATTTCTCCATTTTTATCCCACGCTTCTCACTCACTACTGCAGTATATTATGATAGTTTGTTTTGAATTTCGCGCAAAGCTACACGAGGGCTATGTGCGCTAGCCGTCCCTAATTTAGCAGTGTAAGACTAGAGGGAAGGGCTACTCTTTCACCAACGAATAGTGTGATTAACCGTCACATTATAACGCCCCCACGGCTGAAAGATGTTTGGTGTGACGAGGATTTGAACCCGCAGATTGTGAGTCGAGCGCCCTAACCACCTGGCCATGGCGGGCCTAAGGTTAATGTGCACTTTTGATTGAATTTTTTGTTTAAGATGACTTTATAATGCTTCAAATTGATAAAAGAATTTTTAAACTTACCAAAAATTGAGATGCACAGTCCGGAGAGAGTAAACTTACTGCAAAGAAATAATATTAGGTTTTATCACTTAAATCCTTAGAAATAAGTTATACATGTCAACTTCATCATATAAAAATTAATGACTAAATAAACTCACTGTTTATAAGATTCAACATTTGGATTCCAAGACGGGTTGTCAATTGGTATCTTGTTTCTAAGTAAGATACTGATTTGAATCTTGAGAATAATTCACTGTCTTGACACACTTTAACCTTCTAAGGTTATGTGATCAACAACAACAACAACAACAAACTAAATGACTGAATCTGTCGTTACTCTCTGATTTTATTCTATACATAAAAAGTATTTGTTTTTCTGGTTCTAGGAATCCAGAAATTGGTATAATTTTCACATTATTCCCTTGTTAGTAATTGAAAAGGTAAAATCTTGATAAGTTTCTACTGCTGTACTTTCAATGAAACACACGAAAAGACTCACAATTGATCTTGGTGGACGACAAAAATGTATAATATGAAAAATGATTCGTGAAAAAAGTTTACATCTATTTACGAAAGAAACGTTCTCAGTTCTTATACATATTATGTTCAATTGCCATAGACAACAAATGTATTCGTGTGGTGGCTACTCGTTAAGAAACCGATAGCAAATTGCAAATAAAAAACATATTTTTGAACTATTTTTAATGACGCTTTTATTCTCTACATTTTCTGTATTATTATTTGTAAAACACCATGCTCAATGTGAAAGGTGCTTCAATGGGTGTGTTACACATTTTTATTCTGTATATTTGAGATATTATCATTATTTGCAAAACACTGCTCAATGTGAAAAGTGCCTCAATGGGTGTGCTACACATTTTTCATTCTGTAGATTTTAGATATTATTATGTTTAAAATGTTATGCCCACTGTGATAGATGCCTGATGGCTTCTACAGCATCAAACTGACCAGAACTAACCAAATACTTAAAGCATAAAGATATAAGATATTAGTCAAACTCGAATTTTTTGGCACTGACCTAATTTGAATTTTTTATTTAACGTGACGAACGAATTTTGCAATCAACATGAAGTTTCTGTAAAAAGTTGAAAAAAAATATATTAGTAGATTTTGAGCACTATTTTCTTCAGATGAAAATTAGTGAAGGGTTGAAAAAAATGTTACACGTTTGTTCCTGAAAGCATACTACAAGATAGTCTAAACAAAAGCAACCTTTCCTTCCCGAAGTGAACAATATTGGAGAAGGAAGTTCTAATTACGTGTAAGTTAGAATTCAACTGAAAAAAATCAGGGAATAACCACAGGTAGCCTGGAAACAGTTTTGAATGTGAAGCTTTTTGTTACGTTTGTTTCAATGAGATGAAACTTTTCCACTTTGCCGTAATGATGTCATGGCTGAAATATCGTTCTGTCTCTTTGATCAATTCATGTTAAGCGTTTACGTGTTCGGTTACTGTTGAGGTTCATTCAAAGACCTAATTGACAAACTTGCTTTACACGAACTCCTCTGATTGATGCAACACTATCGAGAGCTCCATCTAAACTTGGTCTAATAATGGAATTATTGTAAGGGAATTAATCACCGCGTGCTGGACATTAATTAAGGAATTCAATATTTTTCGTGTTTCATTAATTGGTATATTCAAATTTGGTCTGACGCTTTTCTTTATTTTAAAGATTAAATTATACTAATTAATAATTCCTTTTGATTCTAATTTGTTATTCTAGTCCTTTTTGATTGAGCTTGATGAGCATGTTGGTGTGGAAAGGTATTGATTAATTCAGTAACATTCTTTTTCATATGTAGCTTGAATGGAATCTTACGTTTCTAATCTTATTCAAATATGATTAATATAAAGTACTAAATAATGATTCTGTACAGTTTTAGAAGAAGAATAAAAAACTTTAATACCTGTACAATATCACCGATCAACAAATTCTATTGAAAATGTTATTCATGTATAAATAGAATTGTTTGAAAACATTTCATAAAATAGCCTTTTCGGCGAAACGCTTTTTACAGGACGTTATAAAACTCTTTACCTTATCGTTACCCACATTATCACTACGTTTACTAGGAAGCAGGAAGGACAGTTTACCACATTTTCTTTGAAAATAAACGAGAACAATAACCTATAAAATGTGGGCCAGGAGAGAGCAGCATGCTTTTTAAATCCGCAGGAGGTCCTTTCCTTTGATCTAAGTACCTAATATAGGTGAAAAGTTTCATTGTTCCAAATAGCTTAAGGCAGTTGCTTGTTCAAGGAAAATGTGTAATTGAGAATGAGGGTTGAATAGCTTGCGTGCCACGAATTAGTCAGAATTAAGAAGTAACCATTACACAGCTTTCATCTGTTCGTTAGAAATCCTAAACAATCCTCTTTATCTTTGAGCCTGGATGTTTTGCACTTTTTTCTGTAAATGTCATACCATGTAACTCTACGCATTTATAAAGTAGGTATTGATATTTAAGAGGTAATTTATTACCATCCGGGCTCCTATAATTCTTATATGCTATGTGCTACGCAAAAGTTATTAGCTGACTATCTAATAAACTTCGTTGTTTCGAATACCTGTTACAAATTATTACGACAGCTTTTATTTTACTATTATTTATAAGAACAATGTATTTTTTTTATTCCTGTAAACTCCCAGTGGAGCATAGGGCCGCAACAACACCTCGCCAACGGAAGGGGTTGTTGCAGTTACTTGTAGCAGGGTGGGTTTTTCGGGGTGGGGGT